CCGCTCTTTACACTATTTAGTGATCACTTAATTAGAATTAGCGACCTAATTAATTATTAAGCCATGAGAACCCTCATAGCTTTGTTACTAATTCTTCTACTTCTGATTATGAACAACTCATGCTTTGCAAGGAGCACCATTAACCGCAGGATAATGGTGATGACTACTGAAATCAGTAACCCTGATGTTGCCACGTCAGCAGCTGATGATCAGCAACAAGGAGCAAAAAACAAGGATGGTGATCGGACGGCCGAGAAGTTAACAATCATGGCTAGTTAATTAAGCCATGTAATTAGCCATGATTATCGCTTAATTATTAGATCTTATTTGGTCTTATTTGTACCTGCTCTAGCAATATGTAAAACATATCTACTTGTGTACGTACTATATATATATATATATATATATATATTATGGTGCTGATGTGAATCTATTCCTCCATATTGCTTTCATTTACTTCTTCAGTAGTCTTACACAGTTGGAATGAAGTTTTTCTGTGTCATAGGTTTAAGAATGAAGTCATTTTGTTCCACAAAATTTGTATTTAGTTTCACCTTGGAATGTCTCTCTGCAGGGAATTGATATTTTGGCTGGAGTCGAGGCTATTATAAGCCATCTAGTGGTGAGGGAATTCTGCATTCCTTGTGCGCACGCTCCTGCTTTATTACCTCCTCCCCTTTGTCCATCTCTTTCCCCAAAATCAGCTGCTGAGGAGGTTGGTATTCATATTCTTTGAAGATAACTAGAAATCTGGGGTTGCCTTTATTCTTGAACATGCATACACCTATAATTTCAAAATTTGTTTTTTCTCTTTTTGGTAAAACTTTATCATAGTTTATTGATCTTTCTTCTTCACAACAACAGTTGGGATACACATTCTTACCTTGTGTGCTTGCTGGGCTAAGTAATGCACCACAATACTTAGATTTGAAATCTGCATCCTTGGAAAAGGGTTGCATATTGGCAAGTGACGTAGATAGTGTCATCCTCCCAATAGATGCTTGTGGAGGAGATGGTGCTCTCGCTTTCGCTTGCAGTGAAAGAAAGAAGGTATAAATAAAAACAAATGTCGCTATTTTTTATGCTTCCCAAGTGATAATATTTGGTTTTACCTGGGCATAGGAGATTCACTTGATAGAATTTACAGTGATAGTGATTTTGCTGCAGCCACTTATAATTGCTGTGGAAGAAAATGAAACAGTTCTTCATGATACACCAAATAATCTCGGGATTGAAGCGGTACGCATGCCTACCCATTCTATTCCTTTATACAAGTAACTCGAGCAAGAGTTTTGTTGTTAATAATTCATGGTGATCATGTGTTATTTTCCGTGATAACCATAGTTCTGGTCAAGTATGTGATACAGAATCACAGGTAAAAGAACTAGTTACACAATTTGCTACTGAATTATTGGTTTTATTGATTGAATATCACAATTTCTAGTCCCACTACAGAGTTCCCTTTTTTCCCCTGCCTTTTATTTCTCCTCACATAAGTAAAATGCACCGGTAGCTTATCAGTATGCCTAGAGTCAGGAGAGTTACAAAACCAGTATACTGTTATTTTAGTCATAACTGTGAATGTTTGGATACTTCAAGTAGCAGGCATTTCTTACTTTTTTTCTCACATAAATTAGGTTCAAAATGTCTTGATACAACTATCCTTTGAACCCATGTAGTAGTTGGTAAAAACATATTCTATGAATAGTGTTGTAGGATAAAATCTCGAACCCTACATCGTGCACTAGATGAGCGCCACGTGGCACAGCCGAAGGTATTAATGGCCATGCCAGCTCAGCATCAAGTATCTTGCAAAATGAAATTTGGTATAGGCCGACCGCAAGTTGAGAATAACACCCCCATAAGAGGGCGACCGTACAGAGGAGTCAAGATATGCGAGAGGTCGACTGCTTCAGGTAGATGTAGGCGAAGATGGCTTGATAAGCGCCTGAGGAGTCGGTCGCACGCAGCCCAAGAAAAAATTGAACCTGCAGGATATCTTACGTGACTTGTAAGCAAGCAAAGTTGGTAGGGGAGTTGGTGAAAAACCACTGTTGACTGGCAGAAACCCTACCCACCGAGGATTACATCCAAAAATATGGAGACAATGTGATAGAATGTAATGATGGAAATGGCTGAGGTTGAGAGAGGATAGAGAAAATATATACGAGAGAAAATGGCAAGCCCGGGGGCTCTCATTCTGTAACTTGCATTCTCTAAACATAGTAAAGATTTTTTCTCCTCACAGTGGTCATAGCTCTTGAACAAAAGAGTGAACCACTATAAATCTTGGTGTTCTTTCTTCTTGATTATTGGTCTGACTTCTTAAAAAGCTTATTTTAAAACTGTTAAAATCACGTTAATCCCTTTTTAATCCAAATTAATCTTGATGAATTTCCACCGTCAACAAATAGTGTCTATACTAGTACTCTTTCAAACAATCGATGTTTATAGAATGAATGTGTAAGTAGTGAGTGGAGTTCTTCTTCCTTGAGGTATAGGGTTCTACAGTCTGAAGAATTGCATCTCAACATACTCATAACAGAATAGGCGTTAGTTTGAACAATTTGAACTCATTTGCAGGTTAAAGTCGCCAATTATTGGGAGGCAATCGGTGTTGTTGCATCTCATAAGGCTGGAGTAAACCCACATTCTCTCCGAAGAAACAGGATCAAAAATCTCCGGGGCGCTTCTATGATGCCTGCTAATGGCCATGCAGTTTCAAGTGCCAAAGCCATTGCCTGGATTGAGAATTGAGGACAGCTTATTTGTGTGTGTGTGTGTATATATATATATATATATAGATATATAAAATATTATATATCCATTGATCACCACTAACAGTCCCCTGATTCATGAAACACCTCAGCAATTTTCTTGTATTTTTTACTTTTTCTGGAGAAAATGTAGGGCCAAAGTGATTGTGTTAAAACAATTCAGTTATAGTTATTCATATGCTACTATATTGGGGCTTGTCTAATGGTGATTTGAAATGTTATTTTAGTCTGTCGATATCCTGATGACTTGTATGTAGCTTTAATCTGATTATTTCTGAGTTTCAAGGCTACCTTTATCCCGAGTCCCATTGAAAATAAGTTTGCATTTCGATTCTGAAATAAGCGTCATCACAGATTGACCGGCAGATTCAATATCAAATCACCACTCAGGTTAGTCAAATTCTTATATTGGTCTATATTGTAGCATAAAACCCTTGATGGAACATATAGCAACTAGTCAATGGTCGTCTTCTTTCTAATCAGACGCACAAGGTAAACTTCTCTACTTTAAGGACCGCTACGAGGAGCAAAAATCTCCCACGTATCACTTCTGTCCCATTTGTAGAACAATGTTGGTTTCTTTCTTTTCCAATATTGAGAAACCGTGTTGTCATTTGGTTCAAAGTTTTGAATCAGAAAGTTCGAACATAAATTTAAATATTGTAGTAAAAAGGTTTGAATTGTAATTCAAAACTACGGAATAAACGATACTACTGAGAATTATTTGGAAAGATTTTATTTCTTCTGGAGAGAATATTGTATCTGTCATTCAATGAAAAATATCTTAAATTACATCAGATACAATAGGTGGCGGAACATCTTCCAACCACACCATATCTTCTTTTAGCCTAAGACCATGCTTAGCTAAACCACACCATATACCATGCTTAGCTAAACCATGTGCTGCAAAATTAGCAGACCTGGGAACATGGTCAACTAAACAGTTAAGGAAAATAGCAAGAAGATATTTAATGTCAGATACAAGGTTCTCAAACTCAGAAAAATTAGGGGAGTTGGAATGGATAGCATGAATAATATCCAAGGCATCACTCTATAAAATTAAGTGGCAAGCCAACATTTGTAGCCCAAATGAGACTGTGACTTAGAGCAGTTGTTTCAACTTCTTTAGAAGAGAACTTTCCAAAGCATCTAGAAGATAGAGCAGCCATAACAAGGCCTTCACTATCTTGGATTAAAGCACCAATTCCAATAAAGATTTTTTTTTTGAAGAGATACCTGCATCGATATTCATTTTATATTGTCCAATAGGAGGAGGAACCCAAGTCTTCACCGTGCTCAAAAATGGATCAATGCTCCTTTTGCTGACAATGAGATTAGCTTTTTAGTGGTCTTTCAAGAACTGAGACGACCGTGAAGGAATATAAGACAATTATCTAACAGGACGATTATGAACAAAATTGTTTCTTTCATTCCAGATCGACCAAAGCAGACATAAAAAGTATTCGAAGCTCTCTTTGTTGTATGTTTCTTTAGCATGGTGGACAAGATCAATAAAAGACATTTTTGAGTCTTTCCAATGCTGAGCTGGAAAACCAACAACATTCCAAACTGATGTAAAAAATATACACCATATGAGGATGTGTTGGACTGTTTCAGGAGATGACTTACAACAAGAATAATAATATGTGGAAAGAACTTTTCTTCTAAACAGATTTACAGTTGTCGGTAAGGCGTCATGATAAACCTTCCAGAAAAATGTCTTGATTTTTAGAGGCACATTCAAATGCCAAAGTTTCTTCCACCAAATGCTTGATGAAGACGTTGAAGAAGACGAAGGCTGGTCGACAAAAGAAGTAGCAAGCCAATAAGCTGATTTGATTGTAAAAGTACCTTTTTGATGATAATGCTAAATTAATTTGTCCTCATGAGCAAAATGACTAAGTGGAATGGAAAGGATACATTCAACATCTTCTTGTGAAAGTACTCATTAAGCATCTGGATATTCCAAACCCTTGAGGGTAATATGAAATCAGCAACTGTTAAGGAGTTGTTAACTGAATGGCTGTAGATAGGAAGAAAAAAGTTATTTGGAAAGATCTGTTTCTTCATTAAACTACCTGTCAAACGACACCTACTTAAACAAGAGACAAAGGAAGGTATTTAACTTTTTTTACTGATTTATTTAGGGCCTGGTTTCTTAAATTTTCTGCTTCGTTATTTCCAATTTTAAGATTACTGTTTGGTCTACAACTTGCTTTGTCAATCTCTGTCATATAAGGAGTTTTTTGCAAGGTCAATTATGGATCCAGAAATCTTGGTTGACACTTTTTCGTGAAGAGAACTACTTGCCCTACTAAACTCATGGCTTTTGACCACTTCTAAGATAAGCCTGCAATATTTGAACATTGGTTCTACTCAAATGAAAATAATTAATTAGTCGGTTAAACTGAGTTGCTTGTTGAGTGTATGTAGCGTGTTGCGTGTCCATTCGCACTACTATGGAGTCGAATTTCAAGCCACAAAAAAAAAAAAAAAAAAATTTACAAATGTGAAGGTTGACCACTCTAGACTTGGGGGCATTGATACTACGTCGCTGTACAGCACTGTAAAGAAGCTTGCGGACAGAAGTAGAGAATCAACGTAAAATTCTGGGCCAAAGGCTTTTGATCTATGAAATATACATACATATATATTTAAATATTTGGTAGCTCAAAGGGAAGAGATAACGAATTGTCTTCAAAAGTGCACAATATTTTCTTGAAAAATGGAATTAATTTTAGGGATGTATGTTATGGAGTTCCATAGTTCATTTTAACTAAACCTTGAATTAAGGGTTATTTATACCCTCAATTTTTATACCCTCTATTTTAGGTTAATTTAAAAAGTATACCTTTGGTAATTCGTTTTTGATCTCAGTTTATTACACAAATTTATTCTTGTTTTTTCTGTCAACATTCAATTTTGACCTAAAATACCCAGAATACCCTTAATTAAACGGTAAACTCTAAAAATAAGGGGGCAAAAAAAAAAAAAAAACATAGAACTGAAAAGGGATTTGTCCCCCAAATTCACCTCTCGCCTTTACCCACCCAAGTGCCGACCGGCCTCTGCACATCTCCACGCACAGCGTCCCAACCTCAACAAGCAAAGCTATCTTATATACTTCTCAACCAACATATCAAAAGACCATAGTTCTAGACCCAATAAATTCCCCAAAACATTTGACAACAAAATCCAAAACATTAAAAAGAGACTTCCATATCTTTATCGTGCAATCAATAACATCACCTGCAAGAAGGACAGAATTCGAATTACAGAGTGAAACAACACCAGACAACATATCCAAGTACCTAAAGTTACCCACTTTACTTTTTAATCATATGAACTGTGATTCTGAACAAAGAGGCGTCTGAGTTCTTCCATGCAACTAACCAAATTGTCAATCTGGCTCTTCCACACATCAACCACCTCAATGAGTGCTTTATTAGAATCCCAATTTTCACTTAGAGCCCCCTGAAATTTTTATTTACAAAATGAACCAGAAATGATAACTTTTTAAAAAGAACGATGGGATGGTCGTTGTTCATAAAAAAAAAAAAAAAAAAGGTCATTTTGTCAATTTCACTATATTGAATAATCACTTTAGCAAATTTCTCCTCTATTTTTCCGATCTTGGTAAACTCAAACGCAAGATTCAGGTGCAGTGATAGGGGCTTGAAAGATTCAGGTGAGGGAGGATGGACGCGTCATCGCGCATCTAGGCCGGTTGGTGTCCATCGCAGATTGGGGGGCTAAAGTCTTGTGTTCACCGTTGTGGGTGACAATGAGGGCGAGCTGATCAGGGGGGAGTGGGAGTAGGGTTGGCGGCAGCAGAGTTGGGTGAAGGGTTAGGTTTTCTTTAAGTTTCAAGTTTTTCAGGGTTTCATTTTTTAATTTTTTAATTTTAGAGTTTTTCTAATTTTTTAACTTTTTTTATTTAGGGTATTGTGGGTATTTTTAAGTCAAAATTCAATGTTAACTCAAAAAAGGTATAAATTTGTGTAATATAAACCTTGAAGGTATATATTTGATGAAATCGAAAATTAAAAGATATACTTTTTAGATTAACTAAAAACAGAAGGTATAAAAATGTAAATAACCCTTGAATTAATAACAATAATAAAAAATGAATATACTTCCATTCGCAGCAGCTAGACTTGCTTAGTTTGAGCATGTGACTCCAGGGTCATTAGATCTGACTTCAATTTACTTATCCAAGATATCATGATTTTACAAAATATTTATCTCATAAAAATATTCAAATGTTAGGCTAGATTATGATTGTCAACTTTACCGGCCAGATAACGCTGGCCATTAAGAATATGATGTTGGAAAAAAATATCATGGGACTTTCTGATCTACAATTATAACATCTGTAACATAATATGTTTGAAAAAATACAATATTTTTTTTTCTATTATAGCCACCTGATCTTGTATAGTGTATTGTAAGTTTTTGGTGTTGACATGCATGACGTACGTGAAAAACGTGATAGCCAACCCGAGATTCAATTC